GTGGACGTTATAAAAAGGCTGTTGATGTGTTCCATTCTAAGGATGGTGTCAGCATGTGGCGTGATCAACCAGGCACCAAGGCATACCTAGCCTAGTTTTCGCTAGTGAATTATTACCCTTTACTCTTCAGGTCGGTTCAGAATTCCCACTCGGTGGTTACGGAGTAGCGTTTGGTGACCTTCAACAGTCTCCCAGTGTTATGTCAGCCCACAGATCAAAAACAACCGCCACTAGATGTTATGTGGATGCTAAGTGGGATGAAATGTAGCACCTGGTGCGGCGGCTGAAATGAGGTTCTGGTTTTACCAGTAGCTCAACCTATGAGTTATATCTTTCAGAGTCCCATGAGTGTAACTCATGACCATATTTCCCCGGTAATACCATCAGTAATCAGCGGTCCGAAAGTGAATTTCTTCCATAAAAATGCACTTATCTGCATACGTAAACATGCCGGAAACTTCTCTGGGTCCGATGACCTTTCATCCCGTCTCATCGAAAATTGTGCACGTAGACTTCAAATTGAACAAATTACTGAAGGCGGCCAAACGGCAAAGTGGCTGCAACACGTGAACAAACAACGTTTAGTTTTTGGTAAGAGCTCTAAATCCATTACAAGCCTGTCTAGGGCAACGCCCAACCATCTCATTATCAAAAACGGCATTCTCTGCCAAGACCGAACAGAGATCTGTGAGCCGTTTAGCAATTACTCTGCGGGCTCCTTCATACGGAAAGATAGTGTATGCGGCGTACAAACCCCCATTCCAACAAACATCCGTTTGGTTATGTTTTATTTGCAAGGCCCGAGGTTACACACTGCTTCCTCCCAGAAGCGCATTATGAGTGATAGCATCCAGAGTAGCCTGTTATGGCCCCAACTCATCCTCCTCTGCATAAACGATATCTCCAATGTAACGAAATAATGCAAGCCCCACCCATTTGCTGACGACTTGAAGACTGTGAATGGCTTACCCTACTTGCCGTTAAGTGGAGGAGTTAATGAAATCCAGGACGATCTGATGAATTTGATCACCTGGAGCGAAACACGGTGACCTCTGTGTGGCTCTATATAGGTTCACTCATTGTTTAATTAACCCCCGCCCCAAGCAAGTTTGCACCTTGAGTATTACCCGCTTCTATCGCATAACGTAGTGTTTGATATGGGTCTTATGTATTGTCGAAAGCTAACGTTTAAGCAGTTTTCTGACTCCCCTGTGTCTGAATGCAGGCGCCTATTCGGCACGTTGCGGGAGCGTGCAAATACTACTAAGGCTGGGTTGCATCTATCCAAAGTAATGATACGCCCAGCATTTGAATATGGCATGACCATCTTTAGTAATATGCATGCTTCATACGGGATAAGCATTGGGAATGTTCACAGAAAATTTACCGGCTGTGAACTGGACCGCCGTGAAGAACTCGCTCGCAGGGAGGTGTATTATAACTGAAGGCTGACCAGATTTAGTTCAGACGCCTGAAGTTCAAACTAACCTAATTTTTTCCCCTTTTGCGTAGCACTACTCATGTTTGCTGCTTTCTTACACTCAACCCTGAGTCCTCACACAGTCTGCGCAATCTTCTACACAATGCCCATCGACAAACGCCACCCTAAATTTAGGCGGTGGTTCTTCACTATACTATGGACTAAGTTGTGGAATAAGCTCCCGCTTCATGTCGCTCTTGCAAATCTTCATTTCGATTCCAACATTGCTTACTGAATTCCCTCTATTCGCTGATATCCATCGGTCCCTGGACACTCGCGTTGCATCCACGAATACCAAGCATGACGGAACTGTCTGAAAGTAAACTTGGCTGAGCCATCGCATCCAGTAATAACGCTGTCGGTTAGGGTGAATGGTCGTTGTATGGTATCATTTCCAGCAAGGTGACATCCTGACAGCCCTCTTCCCAACCACTTTCATGTGTGATTTATATGAGTTCCAAACTTTTACCCAGCGACACAACTTTGATGGGCCTAGTAACTGTTTAACAACATTCTATAGACTCCTATTTTGCGTTCGAGCTTGGCTTTATTAGCTCTGAACCGTTTCTTCGGATAATAATACTAAGTTTTATCCTCATGCACTGGATTTAACACGTGCAGGACCAGTCATGGAACCTTTGGGCAAAGAGGTGTCGGAGATGGTTCAAGGACAAGTAGGAGCCGAAGCACTTTTGTCCCTGAATACTCTCAGTGCTCGGTCTAAGCGTGAGCAGATCTTCATGGGTGTGTGAATTTCTGTTGAGTGAACGAGCGGTTGGATTGTACGAGTAGTCAGAGTGCCGAGAGTTCACTTTCAGGATGCTGTCAGTAAAGTAACCGTGTCTTCTATGAGGATCTCTGTCTACTTGAAAGGATAACTATTAGTCGAGACTGAAACCTGCGTATGTAGCCAGTTTCGCTACAGAACAGGTTTCAGCTCAGCCAGCGCTTCTTCTGTATCGTGCACTTAGCTTCCTTGAGTTGCGCGTGGCCCAAGTACATCCGAAATATGACAGGAAATGATAGATGTAACCTCACCTGTGGTACTATTTAAACAGTAAAAAAGTGTAACAAAAGTACTTCAGCGATTCTGCCATGGCATTATACAGTTAACAATAGTATCACGGACAAAAATGTATTAACTTATGTGATAAGAAGGGTGTTGGAGGTGAAGATCATACACTCTCAACCACTGTGAAGTATTTCCAACAAAGGGGCCCAGATCTTCGTCCCAGGAGTCGGATGAGATGACAAAACTGCCCCAAACAAACAACCTACTCGAGACCGCTATAACGGCTTTGAACACGAAGTGAACCATAGCTGAATAGAATTAATCTCAAGAGAGGAACACGAAATCACTTTTAATAAGACAAGAAACTGACACGAATATTCCCATGGGATTGGATGGCAACAGGCCGAAAACCGCGCAAAAATGTAGGCTGAATGTGGGTAGGAAAATTGAAAGGAAATAGCAAGTGGTGAGGCCAGGGGTAGGAATAATCTTATAAAATTCCCCAACATCGTCTCAAGTATTTGAAGGCTTTGAAAATTGGTAATCTTGACTGGAATTTTGTTTCGGATGTGTCACTGGAAAGCATTTTACTCAAATGGTTTTACGGCATCCGCATGTCGAGAATTGGATGGCTAGTTCCTAAGACCATGAGTAGCGGGTGATTCTACTTTAGGTGCCTTTCCTAGCTCTAAAACATGTGTATTAGTGGTCGAAAGAAGAATTCCAGGCAGAAAGGAAGTTTTCGTCTACACAGCTGTCCATGTTTTAATATTCACTGAAGGCAGGTGTGTATGGGCCAGATGATCACTTGATGAAATGCGTCTACCGGTGTTCGACAGATTTGGTTCACTGCATCCGGAGTAACGAGTCGACCCTCCAAACATACTATTTACCACGAAATCAACTCGCAAATACCCAGTGTTTGCCCACCTTCAGCGTGAAACAGGTGCTCATCGGGACTACTTGTAAGGTTCCCCCATGTAACATTCTCTTTGCCCATGAATAAGGTTTTCAACTGGCTTTGGAAAGGTTTGGCAAGGTCTGATGAAATGCGGTGGTCTGAATATCTAGGCATCGCATCATATTCAGAAGCCACTTGTAGCCATCCGATTCAAATCATTACCCTCTGTCATCTGTAATGGAAGAAAGGTGTTCAAACAATGGAATTCATCGTTCAGCAAAAACGTGGCTTGTGACTTCAACCCCGATGTCGCGAACGGAAACGGTCGCTGGCCACCGTGAGGACCTATCAGTATAAGCCATTTAACAGGGTGAAAACGAACCAAATAAAGTCTAATAACCAGTAGTTCTGTAAGTATTCATTTGAAGTCTGATTTGTCCATAACCACAGTCATGTTTCGCTTCCCAGCATTCAACTTGCGAATATCCGTATCAGTTTCTGGGGCGAAGTGCACATTCTTCTTCTGATATCTTTACACTTGATGGGTTTAATAGTTTTCATCATTTGCTTAAATCAGAAATAGAAAGGTAATAATGCAGACTATTAACTCATTTTGTTCCATTCAATATACAACACTGGGAACACACAAATAACATAAACTTTACGGATGATATGTTCTTTTCAGTTGATATTATCCCCAGGAGTGAAATCGGTATAGAACTCTTAATTTGATGACGAATTCACCAGGTGACTGGGAGGGCTGGTCGTTTCTCAATGGAAACAGTAAGAACGGTAAAGCGAAGTAATGCATGTGTGATATCATACGAAGAAGGAGGTCGTAGAACATCACCTGAGTGTACTGAGGTCTGATAAGCTTACAACTTCTACCCTAATACCTAAGAACGGCAAACAAGTTAATTCCATGTCACAGACGATTCAGAAGACAGTCGAAATATTCCCAAGTAAAAAGCATTCTAAAGCTTAAGTAGCAAAGTTACAGAATCTGAGCCCCAGGTGCTTCGTTTAGTTGTTTCAGACCCTGTATTGGGAGTCAGAAAATCTAGTGCATCAGAATGACTGAGAATTAGTCAGCTTGCTTTTCTATTTGACGAAGTTGAAGATATTTGTTATCCTGGCTTGGAAACAGTTCCTCATTCTGAAATGCCGAAAAGTCTTGAATTTTCAGTGACCCTTCTCACTGATCTAAGGAAGTCAACTTGCAGTTATCAGGACTTTTCATTCAATCGGTTAAAGCCAGTTTTCTTGAGTATTTACAAAGAAATTCAAGCAGACAGTGGAATAGCAAACGTTTTGCGATACAATCACTTTACACAGATTGGTTGCACACTTCTATCAGAAATAGGATGCACATTTTTACATGCTTCTAATCCTTTACACCGCGGAAGCAGTTCAATAACTTGAAGCTTCATTATTCATTCTCCATCAGAAAGCATATATCTTCAAAATAACCGACAAATCAAATTTTGTAGGTCTAAATTTGCTGAAAAGCATACAACGATAATGAATATTTTCAAGAGATAAAGTACTATTGAATTAGGAACACAAAAATACAGGCCATGTATTGCTTTCTAACGCGTACTGAAATCGTATTAAGCGTGAGTGACCTTGGTCTTGGTACTGCGACCTACACATTAAAAAGTTCTATGGTGATTTGTGTTTACGCGCTGAACGAAAGTAATGGTTGATACAGAAATGAATATCATTGGACTTGTGAAAGAGGTTTATGCATTTGGCTTTTATATTTTTAGTTAGTTTCTGGAATATTATCAATTCAGTCAGAGTTACAATTGTTTCACAGAAGAATCTCGTATATTTCAAGGGGTGAACGTCGAGAACTGGAGACCTGCCTCAGATTTTAAAAGAAAGGTAAATTATATGTGTTTTCTTCAGACGCCTTAAAGCAACAAGTTTTGGATCTTATTAAGGCTAACAAGAAGGATGAATTTTTCAGTGCCTTATTGAGGTTAGTGCCAGAATCTCTGCTACAACAGCAGGAGTTCATGCGGTTAGAATTCGATATCAATCTGTTCTTCCTTACTGGGTCTTGGCAGAAGTACAATACAGTAACTGTTCTTCAATGCTAATCACTTCTTCAGGATGAAAGACAAACTGCAATGCAAGAATTTAAACGGTATTTGGAGACCAAAGGATCAGTTCATAGTCAGAATACAGAGTTCTTGGCCTATTACGCCCTTCCCTATGTGCCAAAACCCAATGAACATCCTATATACCAGCAGTTGTTCGAAGAAACATGGCGCAATTCCGTTATCTCTCGCCTGTCAAAATTTATTGATTCTATAATTCAACCGAATAGTAGTAAAACTCCTCGTTTAATCAATCTAGTGACGAGACCAAATATAAAACAAGACCGGTTGGTGAAACAACTCTCTGTAATTCCACACACACTCATTATTATTTTCTAGAGCGAGTTATCAGATGCTGAAAAGCGTGCAGCGCAGTCTCAAAAAAGATTTGCGAAGCTTCAGACGGACTATCAAACTCTTATCTCCGTGACTGCAGATATTCTTGATGCCTTAGAGAGTAGCTTAAAAGGAAGAACTTTAGATAGTTCAGTAATGCAGAAGATATATTCTCGTTTGGTGCATAGCCAGCATAATGCAAATATAAGATTGAGTGACCAGCACAGTCAACCGAATCAGACACCAGACAATAAATTCAGGTGTGAAGCTATGGGAAGCCTAACCGCTAGCCGGAAAACTGAGTCTTTGAGTGAAAAGCCGTCTGCCAATGGAGTTTTCTACCCGTAAGTCACTGTTTATTTATATTAGTCTGGTAATTTCTTTTCTGAAACTCTCGACATTAATAATTGCATGCTTTAGGACATGTTTTTGGTTAGTTTCAGGTTTAGGGACGTAGACAGAGCAGTCTGTATTAGTTCAACCAGTGTGGGTCTCTGTGAAGATCTAGTTTTTCATTGGAAGCGTTCACCAAAGGAGTGGTTACTATAAATATCAGTAATCATTTCCAGCCTCTAACCTCTTCGATAATCATTCCTAAAATGATGGAGAAGATTGAGGAGGTCAACTCCCAAGTTGTTAATCAATATATGATACGCTAATATACGATCTCCCTTTTTCCTACAATGTGAAAAGATTCAAACTTTCCCTCCGCTTTTCATTGGGGAGGTACGAAAGTCCCGTTACCAACTTAGTACCCACCTTTTTACCCGTTCTAGACTGTTTGTTTCTTGCTTGAAACAACGACTATCTGCCTATACGCAGTATTCTAGATGGAGTCTTGCATAAGTAGAATACAGTATCCTAAATGTTTCTCCATCGAAGCCTTTAAAGACCCTACGGAGTGTCTATAGCATGCAGGAGGCCTTGTCTGCAACCGCTTTACAGTGTGCCGTTGCTGTCAAGTTGTGGCTGTTGACGGCCTCTAAGTCTTTTTGTGGCCTAATAGGAGGCAGTATAATTCCATCCTGTGTGTGTGCTGTGTTTATTACTGCACTTTTATTAGAGTTGATTTCCGGGCCATTTGATCAATTCATCTGGGTATAGAGTGCTATCTTATCATCATTACTGTGAACAACCTACCAAACAGCTTCATAAGCTAGTAGTAAGGATGATGACTTAGGCACACCTGGTAATTTATTAAAATAGAGCGGGAACAGAAGAGATTATAGTATATTGCCCTGAGGAGCCTCACTGACAACCGGTTTCCAGTCACTCAGTACTACATTCGCTCTGACCGTCTGACTTCTACCGTGCATGTAATACCTATACTACCCTTGCATGTTGATGTCTGTACCAAAACCTACGAATATCCTCATCAACCATAATCGAAACACATTATCAAATGCCTTTCTAAGACCAATAAACACCAAATCAACAGGCAGTTTGCTACCTTTTTCTCCCACTCATTCTCCCCTGGCTGAAAATGGTTTCGTTGGGCAGGAGCATCCGGATCGGAAGCCGTGTTGCTCTTATGCCAATATACCATGTTTCTACATGACCCTGTAATTTGTCTCCTATAATTTTTTCCAAAACTCACCACTGTGCAAGTCAAGCTAACGGGTGGCTAGTTAGGAACTAGATGCCTATTACCACCCTTGAAAATGGAGCACACTGCAGCGTCGTTTCACTCTAGATATCTGAGCCTGAGACAGTTGCAAATTGAATATCTCTGTTAGCGATTCGTGGATAACTTCAGTCAAAGTTAGTAATAGTCTCGCATGTAAAGCATGAGGACCCAGTGGCTTACCGGGTTTCAGATTATGCAGCTTTTGAGTATTACTGGTCTCCAGGTGATTCAGGTTGCTTGTAAGACTGTGGAAACAAACTATTCACACATGATCACGTATTTGTGATAAGCATAGATAAAAATTGACTTACTTATCTGAAGACTTGTAAGTGATGTTGGGAGTATTATAAAATGCGTTCACACGAGTGTCATTTAATATGACCAAAATGTAATTAGGAAACCATCCACTATGAAGACCGAATTACCTTGATTTATGTTAGTAGATGTGCAATCGAACTATGAGCTTGAGCGAATTAATGTCACGGTTTTTTATATTGAGTATAACGGTTCAGAGTTATTTGTATAATTTGACAAGTCATTGCCTCGCAAAAGGGTAGTTGATTTCAATGTGTGACAAGATGTACTGTAAATTTTGAATTGAATTATCAAAAACCTAGACATTTTTTGTAAGAACCTGATTCAGTAGTATGTCACATTCTCAGCATCCTAGAAGATACTTGTGAATAATTTGGGTTTACGCTGTTACTTCATGCCGGAAGGTTTTTATCTGTATAAAACGAAATATGATCAGCAGATCAGTGAATGTGATACTCTGCCTAGAAATGTCATTCCTGATTCTCACATATCACAATAGCTCACAGAAAGAGTGTAAATAGGAAAAAAAATGCGCAAACGTAGATAAAACTATGATAACATAGAGGATAATTAGATATTTTTAGTGCTCAAAATTTTAAGGTGATGGGTGGATACATCTGTATCACTATGATAAATTTGAAGCCATTTCACTGGTAGTCATCGATTTTCTTCATGTAAATAATTCTATAGATGATTAGTAATGCGTTTAACCTAACTACATTTATCTTTCTTTTAATGTGATCTAACTTCGCCGAACATCACAATTCAGTGTAGGCAGTGGTTCACCGTATATAGCATATATTCAAGTCACCTCACTTAGTGCAGACTCATAACCTCATCTATTGTTTTACCTTTCCTGTATAGTACTTTGTGTGCGACAGTAGTGGTTAGAAGCGGTTGTTTCAACACACGATAGTTTTTATGAAGATATCTGATGTCAAAACTACATAATCTCATGTCTTCTGTTTGTAGTGATCATGCCTAACAACTGTAGAGTAAAGAAGAACGGGTTTCTACGTGGCAGTTTCATTTTTGGATCGTAAAATGGACATTCTACAAGTGTAACAGATGGCACAAAGTGAAAAATGCCCAACGAAAGTTTTCTGTCCGGTTTAGGACTTCATCATGCATTAGTTCAATAAATCTGATACAATTTTCACCACTTCAATCTCTATCCTTTAGCTAAAAGATAATCCAGACCAGTCTAACAGATTGATTGGCTGCTAAAATCAACGTTGAATCTTGACACGTCATCGACTGGTCACACATCTTCATCTAGCTACCCTATACCGACTTCCAACCTAATCTAACTTCTGCTAGTATAGCACGTCAAGGTAGGCGGTGGCTAGGCAGGTGCAGTACATGTTCAAGCCATCCCAGTTGACTAAGGTTTAGAAGTAAAACGCATGTCAAACTTACATTTTCACCCAAAGCGGTCAAAATAATATGCAGTTTTTCAGAGTCTTCTTCTAAGATGGCCATGGCTGTAAGTCAACCAGGTAATTTCGAAGGTATGAATCAGTTCCTGAGAAGTGGAAAGTAGCAAGAGTCATACCCGACAATATATCTTCAACCAAGCTATTAACTTCTGTACAAATGTATGAGTTTTAGTAGAAGTCGTCTTATCAATAAATACTCCCAGATTTTATCCCTATCAGTGAAGCACAATTTCACCTCGGGAACAAGATATATGAAGGGTACTGGCTGCTTGTAAGTATGCTATTGTCATGAAGCTTGTCAAGAGGTAAGAAACTAATCAGTATACTCTTGGCTAGCCCTAAAACATACCTGGTCTTCCCCAGTTGGTTATTCTTAAGCTCACTTTAGGTAGCAGATGACTATGGATACTAAGATATCAGAAGTTGCCTATTGCAAATGACATACGTATCTGTTAGAATGATAATGGACCAGCAACTTATGCATATTGCGGGAAAAATTGCTGGCCACTCCATATTTATTATTTGGATATGTTAGTGTATCTCATACTTCTACCTCTACGGGCTTACCTGTAGAAATCTTGTTACAACTTTCAATCCCTTTGAGTATTCAAATAAATTCGTTTTCTCAGAAACATTCAAGCGGTATTATCACATCATAGGTGCTAATCTAATGATTACACTAAATCAAGCGACTGAGGTTATACATTAACCGCCTCTAATACTCATTAAAATGCTATGCTTGCTAATATACTTGTGTTGCATACATTATCTGGTTTCCTTAAGAGATTTGCAGTAAACATTTTAGCTATCTTGACTTGCTTTAGCTTCAGATTACAAAAGACACTCCCAACTAATTTCAAAGAAGTTAAGAACTGTATACTTTTCTATTAGTGTAGTGAATTCGGACTCCAAGTGATATGGCCCTTTGTTTATCACAAAAATACAAATACGATTACTCCTCCCTTTTCTCCAACTTTTGGACACCTTGCTTTTAGGATTTATCCTTCCTACACTCAATCATTGTATGCTGTCAGTATTTTTGTTTTGGTTGTTAAGAGGACATTTTCAAAACCTATAGACTTCCCCATGCTACCAAGCAGTTCTAGTCAAATAATTCTACGTAATTCACCTCACTAAATCTTCTTAAGAGCTATGTTGGTAAGTATGGGTTTCTCGGTTAAAGTCTCTGAGATGTTAGACACCACTGGTTAGAAATTGTATATGAAACAGGCGAAAATGTATTTTTGGCTTATTCATCATTTACCTAGACATTTTCTATATTCGGCTAAGAAGCTGACCTCTTCAGAGTACCAGGCCAAGTGTGTAGGTTTTGTTTCGCATTATTAGTTCTAAATTCTTAAGGTTTATCACATCGAAACTCTCAATTATGTGATTAGGTTCACAATCATTTCGTAGAATAATGTTTAATGCGAGATTAGATTGTATATGTGTGTTATTTTAGAAATATTTTCTGAATTACCGCCTTTTCTGTCAAAGGGTAATCAGCTGCGAATAGATCTGATATTCATGCCTATTTTTTTAGGGTTGAAGCCTTGTAAGAAAAACAAATTTTTGTAAAACCTCAGACACTTATCAACTAACCTTTCCTTTAATGTTCCTTAGAACTATATGATGTGAGAATTTATTTTGGCTTTTTATTTCAACACCTTTTAATATTTGATTGAATTTTTGACTGTTGAATCTTTGAAGTTATATGCATGAATGGAATATGCACTTTGGTACTACAGAAAACCTTCAATGCACCTGAATTATGACCTTTCTCCGCTTTTCATTTCTTTATTTTATATGATGAACAACCTTCTTAGCCGAAATACCGAAACCCAATCGGTCATTTCAGTAGTTATTCGCTCCGTTATGATTTGGCCTGGGAAGATGTATCGTAGTATAAGCCTTCACAGAAGTGTGTCTAAAGCGTAGTACCTAAGATTGTATCATTTTGAGT